TAGCCCTTGGCCACAAGTCTAGCCTTGTACTTTTCTATCGTACCATCGGGCCTAAGCTTCTTCTTGAACACCCACTTGCATCCCAATGGTTTGCAACCATAAGGACGTTCAGTAAGCTCCCAAGTCCCGTTAGCCATGATGGAATCCATCTCGCTACGGACCGCATCATTCCAGTAGTCAGCTTCTGGAGATGCATACGCTTCTGAAATAGAAGTGGGATTATCCTCCACGAGGTATATGAAGAAATCATCACCAACGGTCTTTACAGTCCTTTGTCTCTTGCCCCTACCAAGGGATTCCTCGTTATCCTCCTCAGGATTTTCATCATGTGTTTGATTATAATATTTCATCGGAATGGCAGGTTCAGGAGTCTCTTCAGATTCCTGTCTAGAAGTGCTTTGTACATCTCTCATGGGAAAAATGTCCTCAAAGAATGTAGCATCTTTAGACTCCATAATTGTACCGACTTTCATGTCAGGTACCTCAGATTTCGCTACTAGAAATCTATAGCCAACATTATTCATAGCGTAGCCCAAATTAACACAGTCCACAGTCTTTGGTCCAAGCTTACGCTTTTTGGGGATCGGCACATTAACTTTCGCCAAGCAGCCCCAGGTACGTAAGTACGAGAATGTTGTCCTTCTCTTGGTCCACTTCTCGTAAGGAGTGATCTCGTTATCCTTTGTCGGAACTTTATCCAGGACATGACATGATGTCATTATAGCCTCCCCCCACCATGCCTTGGATAAACCCGGCGTATCTAACATGGCGTTAACCAAATCAGTTAGAGTACGGTTTTTCTGCTCGGCAACCCCGTTTGACTGGGGTGAGTAAGGAGGCGTCCTCTCGTGAATAATGCCGTGTTCCGCACAAAAGGCATCAAACTCTTTCGAGAAGTACTCTCCACCACGATCTGATCGGACTCGTTTAATTTTCTTTTCAAGTTGATTCTCAACTTCTGCCTTATAGATTTTGAAGTAGTGTAGAGCCTCATCTTTAGTATTTAACAGATACACATAGCAATATCTAGTGGAATCATCTATCAAAGTCATGAAATATTTCTTTCCACCTTTAGTCAACACACCATTCATCTCACAAAGATCAGAATGTATGAGTTCCAGTGGCGCCAAGTGTCTCTCCTCTGCTGCCTTGTGAGGCTTGCGAGGTTGCTTAGATTGCACACACGAATGACACTTAGAACCTTTGGCTAAAGTGAAACTCGGGATTAAATTCGATTTTGCTAGCCGCGTCATAACACCGAAATTAATGTGACAAAGACGTGAATGCCATACTTCAGATTCATTAACACTCAAATGAATATTGTTCACGACTTTATTACATAGATCTGCAAGAGAAAGGTGGAACATGCCTCCGCATTCATAACCCTTTTCAACAAATAGTCCATATTTCGTAACAACTAATTTATTAGACTCGAATATCAACTTAAACCCTTCTCTACATAGAAGGGAGCTACTAACGAGGTTCTTCTTGATGGCGGGGACATGCAGCACGTTCTTCAGCTGCACGATCCTTCCCGAAGTAAACTTTAGATCGACCGTGTCAACACCAAGAACAGAAGCACTCGTGCCATTCCTCATCAGTACGGACCCGTGACCTATGGCCTGGTAAGAAGAAAACAATGAAATGTCAGCACACACATGAACACCTGCACCTGTGTCGACCCACCAATCGGTGGACGGCCAAACTGAGAATACAACAAATAAATTACCGTACCCAGATGCACCACTCTCATTGTTGCTCACAATCATATTGACAGACTTGGAGTCCTGCCCTTGCTTCTTATACTTGTTTGGGCACTTGTTGGCCCAATGTTCAAGCGAACCACAAGTAAAGCAGTCCTCATCCTTCTTGTTCTTCTTGAAGGTCTTCTTACCCTTCTTCTTAAAGTCGGCACTCTGTTGGACACCGTTCTTTCCCTTGGACTTGTGGGAATTGGAGTTCTTCTGATGCACCATGTTGGTCACAGAAGTTCCTTCGACCCCTTTTCCGTGCGAGTCATTTGCCCTTAAATTCTGCTCAACACTCAGATGGCCAATGACATCCTCCACGGAGAATTCATGCCTCTGATGTTTCAGAGTGGTGGCAAAGTTCCTCCAGGAATTGGAAAGCTTAGCGATTATGCAGCCCGCGACAAACTTGCCCGGTAACTCGCACTTAAGAAGCTCAAGCTCCTTAACAATGCATATTATCTCATGAGTCTGCTCCAATACAGGACGGTTTTCAACCATCTTGTAATCATGGAACTGCTCTATAATATACATCTCGCTCCCTGCATCGGCAGCCCCGAACTTAGATTCGAGCGCCTCCCACAAGTCCTTGGCAGACCGCACATGCAAATATGCATCAACCAGCTTATCTCCAATCACGCTCAGAACTGCCCCGAGGAACACGACAGTGGCCTCCTTGAACGCCTTCTCCTGATCAGGAGCGATCGTTCCTGTGGGAGTCACACCGGCGACCCAGAACACGTTCATGGCAGTGAGCCATAAGGTGGTTTTAGTCTGCCAATGCTTAAAGTACGTCCCCGTAAACGGCGACGGTTTCAGTGCAGTAGCAAAACCAGAATTCGAAAAACTCCTACACAGATTAGGTTTTTGGATTGATAAGAAAATAGGCAGTTTTTCAATTAAATTAATCCATGAATAAATCATGAGCATGACATTGACAGTATTAATAACACACTGGTTACGATCTAACAGAGCACGTACTACGCATATAGTAGAAACATCTACACATATCGCTAGTACTGCTACAACAGAAAGAAACATGAGAGGGATAAACGATGTATACACTCCAATCGGCCATGCGGCGGCGGTGGCGGCGGCAATAGCCGCGACATCCTCGGCGGCCTTCTTGTCGGCCTCGACCTTCTCAGCGGCGGCACGGTCGGTGTCGGTCGACATGGTGATGACGAAGGTGATGTGGACGTAGATGAACAGAAGCGAGCAATCGCGTAGTCGCTACCCAAAAACCTAATCGCCCCTCTCCTGTACAGGATCCGGAGAGGTGGGGTTTCGGAGGCCTGCTCTCCCGTCAACCGTGTACGCGGTGAACGGGACGGAGTCGCCGGCGGCAGCAGCAGCAGAGGAACGACGCGGGCGTGGAGGCGGAGATGCGTTCTGTTTCGTGGCGGCTATGGTTGGCAGCTCCCCACATATATATGTGCGGCTGCGCGTGGAGAGACGTGGGCCGAACCCACGTCCAAGTCGGTAGCCCACGATCCGACGTCTCAGATCGTGGCCCCACCTGTCAAAGACTCTCCGTTCCTGACCGGCAAAAAGGAACGCATAGGAGTGAGCTCAGCTCGGCTCAATCCCGCAACCCCCGGCCCGGCCCGACGCGTCGTGACGAGGCGTGACAAAGAGGAATGTGCAAGGGCCTCATCTCTTCTGAAGCTTCAATAGCATGAGGAAGAAAATCCCTTATAAACCACTCCAACTCTCCTTTCATTTTCGGGGTGGGACTAAACTTCCCACCACCTTATCATGCCACCTACATGGGTCTTTAGAGATCAAATCTGAAATTATCATATGAGCTCTAGGCCCATCTCATATTTCAACACGAGGAACCCGGCCCGAGCTCCATGAATCATCGTCGCGGTGACCTCTCCGCCAAGGCAAGGCGGCCCCTCCCCCAAGTCTCCCCGCGCGAATAAAAGGCCGGCCGGTCGGTCGGCTTCCAGCAGTCAGGCGCGTCTCTTCCAACCAGTCACAACTCGCCACTGCACCAATAAGCCGGCCGGTCCGTGCGATCCAAGAGTATCAGACTGTATACGTAGCCATGCTCGGGAGGAGAAACAATGGGTCGCCGACGACGTCGAAGGCCCGAGCAGACGGCGCGGGCCTCGCCGGCGCCAGCACCGTCGTCGCCGACGGCGGGCAGGCGGAGGTGGCCGCGTCGCAGTTCGTCGTGCAGCTAGGTGAACACCAATCGCCTCCTCGATCGATCTAACATGTCTAGCACTGTATAGTATAGGTGCACGAAATCGTTGACTGTATACGAAATTACGAAATCCGGTATGCAGATGAGGCGGCCCGGGAGAGGCTGGAGCGCATGAACCGGAGGCTGAGGCTGCTGGAGCAGCAGATGGAGATGCTGGAGGCGGAGGTCGGGAGGGCCAGCAGCACCGCCGACGACTAGGAGTATACCGGCGCCGCCCCTCGTCGGAGAGACCATAGCTAGAAGTAGAAGCCTTCCTTTCCTTCTTTTCCCTTCTCAGCTTCTCGCTGATGGAAGAACACGCACGCACGGTGATAGTATCATGCGCGCTTGTTAGGCCTTCCTTTTCTTGTGGTGATGAAAGAACATGGCTGTGACTATGGCTATAGTGAATCACGGTTGTATTCCTGAAGCCTTTTGCCACATTTTGGGAGTGAGACGGACCTTCGATCCCTGCTTGGTTTGACTCTCAGGCTCGTTACGGAAAAGTATGACGATGGGCTCATCCTGTCGCTTTCGTCTCCGGTGGAAAATGGCTGCCGTTCCAAGCATGCATGATGGATCTCTGAATTGTCGCTTGCTGTACGATCTTCCTACAGCAAAGTTGGTGTTGATGGAGACAGGATTAAACTCCCCGTTTAGGGCGGACTGTATCAGATCATCTGTACAGCTACCCCAACACCTTACTTAAATTAAAGACTTCTACCAGATTTCCGCTTCATCTTTCTCCTCAGCTGACGTGCAGGTAGGAGAAAGTCCCACTTCACCACAACACTATGTACTTACATTAGAACCCTGGGTTTTCACTTCAGTTTTGGGTGAAACTTTATACAGCACAATTCCCTTGTTGGAACTAAATACATTCACCGAACCATACATTTTTCTTGTATACATGCTCATGATACAAACATATAGCACATCGACATCAAACTAAAAAAAAAAAGGAAGAAAACGCCGAATTACCGAGACGCAACAAGACTCGTGGAATGCATCCACTGCGACAACCAAAGCGGTGATACTGCGAGCATCACCATATCGCTCTATTCACAAGCCAGCTTGGTGCCAAAGCTGCTGAGGCTGATGGCAAAGGCCTGAAATGCCGACAGTGGCTGCCGATAATCCATCGTGAAGATGTCGTCATCGACCTTACCAAATTGCAGCAGCACCGTCTCCTCATCCCTGGAGCCAGCAGGGTCATTGGGGTCAGCGGCAACGGACAGCTGGAAATTCTTGACGGACGCAACTGTTACCCGCCCATGGAAGTTCAAGCACCAGCACTGCAGGTGCTCGTGCCAGCGGGGAGCTTTGTTTCTTAAAACCGTGGTGCCCATGGGCTTCCGGAACTTTGTCTTGAGGGCGTTTTCCCAGGTCTCTTGAGGTGAAGCGCACTCGAGTGCACAATACATCCTCCTGGGGCCTCTGGATTTGAGCAGGTTGTATTTGTATGAAAGCTGCCCGACTTCATAGTTGCCCGCCGATACTTGGGGGCTTATTCTTCTACTTCCGAAACGCCGACTAGATCGACTACTTGATGCTTTAGCGCCATCATGTGGTGGCTTGCTATCATATACTTTGAAGTTTGTTCCCCAAAAATCAGATCTACAGGTTACAGAAGAAGCACAATTATATCACCGAGTAAAAGAATCAAATACATATAATTAGTAATCCAAATTTTCAGTAATGCAAACAGAAACCAAACATAGGGATAGGGAGGTGACATAACCTAAACTAGGACACTGAAATGGTGAAATCAAATTCCAAAAAGTTGGTAAAGTAATCGCCTCAACACTTCAGCAGCCAGTTGCGAGGACACATGATGATTATTTTTCAGAATAAAAATACCAATAGGTGCGGACCATACTGAAGATACTTAGTAATAACAATAGTTACTCCCTACATCATGTCAGTCTGAATATACTTTTGTTCGTACTACTATAACTGCCCCACTTTCTAGGAAGAGTTCATCTTGATCGGAGTGATATTTAATTATCACCCATTCACCCGTGTTTGGCCAAAGCCTAATGCCAGTAACCAAACGTATTTTAAGACAGCTGATCATGGATCACAAGGCCAACCCATGTACGTGTCTCTGATGACTACTTTTACGCACATGAGGCATGGCTGGGAGTCTTGGTCTTGATTGGGCTGGCACAAAGAGGAAGTAGACATGCACGAGGCCAGGTTGGAGACAGAGCAGGCGGCAACATGTCGAAGAGAGAAAGAGGAAAATAAATTTTGGGGAAGCACTCTTCCTCCACCTCCAGCACGTGGGGGAAGATGAACAGGAAAAGGGACTAATCTGATTTGGTTTTTCTACATGGAGGTGGCAGGTGAGAGAAGAGATAGATACCGCATAGGAGAAATTTCCTTCAGGGTATGTTTGGTTTAAGCCAAAGCTCACCGACACCAAACATTTGGCTAGCCAAAGGTTTTGCTTACCCATGGTTGGGCGGCTTGGGCCAATGTTGGCAAGAAAAATAAACTGAGAGGGCAATGGGGAATGGCCATGCAAAAATATCGGAAACCATCCAAACAAGGACCAAAAAATTGGTAGGTTAGGTTTTGGACACAAACCATGAAACCACACATACCCTCAAATCAGTGACATTGCCGCAATATACAATACCGCCTTCAAACCTCGCTTCAGGGGGCTAAGTAAAACACAGACTTGAGAGGTTTATAGAAAAACACGATACTTGAGATCAGTAAAATGGACTTTTCCCTTAATGATAATATAAAAGAGAGATAGAATAAAAAGAGATCCTCAGGACCCAGAAAATAAATTTTAAAGGACCATAAGAAACAGCAAATGTGAAGCAATCATAAAAGTGGAATAGCTTGCACACTCCCAAAAGGGCAAAGATCAAAAGTTTAGAGTCTCAAGACACAGTGTAAATACTTCAGCAGACCATCACAAAATTTCAAGGATGCAGTGGGTTTCATGTGACAAAGGGATGAATAAGGCACCTTAGGCATGCCACCAGGTCAAAAGGTTTGCTTTGCATTATTGTAAACGATGCATCTTTGACCTCTGAATCATATTACTAGCATTCAAACTCAATGGAGAAGATACAGAGTGAAGAAGTGGTACTAACTCCAAGTTTGAAACTCTGTAGTACTACATTATCTAATGGTTGGATTGACTGCTCTGACGAGCGATCCTCCTCCCCCGCAACGGGAGAGAGCTCTGCCGCCGCCGCCGCCTGATCTCCTGCCTCCGGCCACCTCCTTCACAACAGAGACTAGATCCGAAACCCTCTCTTCACCCTCTCTCCATCCACCCCGGAGTCTAGCGCTCTCGGGCGACTTGGGGGCGACCTCCCTCGCTGCCGCATGAGGTTGGCGCCGGGCAAGCCCATGGCGCAGCCGGGGACTACGGCAGCGGGGCCCTTGCTGCTTCGCCTTGCGCTGGAGAGTGATTGGATCTGGGACGGCGGCCCTTCCGGCGAGGCCCCTCCGTGCTACGGCGAGCGGCGGGGCTGGCATGGTGCCGGTGGTCTGGTCGGACGGCCGACGGATCTTCCTTGGACCAGGGCCTGGCGTGGCTGCTCTAGCGGCCGGCGCCGCCTGATCTGGCCGCTGTCCTCCGGCCCTGATCGGTGTGCTTCTCTCTTGCGGGGTCCTGGCAGTGCCGGCGCGGCTTGCCGGGACCCTGGCCGGTGGCCGCTGGTGAAGCTGGTGGAGGAGAACCAGATTGGGGGAAACCCCTTGGTCGGCCCCGGTCGGCCGCACCGAGCACGACGCTCAAGGGTGCCGCTTTTCTTCTTGGAGACGTCGATCTACGTCTGCTCCTCTACTTCCCCCCTACCCGCCTCTCAGGTGAAAACCCTCTCTGGTGGGCGGCGGCGGCGTCCTTGACGTCGTGACCTTCCTGAAGCCGTCGCCTTGAGGGCTGAGTGGTGGTGGGCACTGTGTGAGTCCTTGACGGTTGCTGGTGATGGGCATTGCTTCAGGGGAAACCCTAGGATCTGGTCTTCCAGATCGGACAATGGCGGTACTACGGTGCCGTTTCTCTCTTGGGAGCATTGTTTGTGGAGTAGCGCTGGATGGCAGAGGCAGGAGGTGGAGCGGCTTCGTCTTGCACGGAGCTTTGGTGGAGCTGTCAAGTCATGCCTGGCCGACAGGTGCTACGCTGAGTCATGCCTAGTTGGCAGGTGCTACGCACGACAGTCTTCCAGAGTCTTCGCGTCTGAACGGATGAGCGCAGGGCGGTGGCGCCGTTGGGAGCCGTGGTGGCGTCAACGGATGTCCGGACTGGCAAGGATAATGCGGATCTCTCTCCTGAATGGGTTAGTGGTCCGATGATGATGGCGGCTTCTAAAGCGTGTGCATCTGGTGTGCGCTTTAGGTCTGCTGCATCGGATGTTGGTCCCGATACGTTATGTGGATGGATTGGTGACAACACCGGTTTTAGATATGGGGAGTGAGAGCACTCCACATTATCGAGTTTGTAGGTGTGAGTGGTGGTTTCGGGTGGATTGATGTGCGTTTTTGTCAGACCTTTGTGGAATAATTAATAAAGAAGGCTGCATGCATCGATTGATGCAGAGGCCGGGGGTTTATCCTCCTTTTCCACAAAAAAAAAACATTCTCTAATGGGTTTTATAGCGCTGAGGACCTAAGTGTGTTCCATAAATCAAAACCCACTTTTGTGTTCCATATTTGCACCAAATATATTACTTCATCCAATTTAAACACTTAGCAGGATACATAAAAATAGCATGGCAGGTTAATGTAAGTGCAGCCATGTAGAATTCTCACCTCAGTTTCCCCATATATGCATTGCTCCCTTGTGACAAGTCGTCAGCATCAAGGGATATAATGTACTCGGTATGGGGGCCACGCCTAAACCTTCTTGCGGCCATGAGAAACTTCCCTTTATCTACAGTAGCTGTCAGACGCAGACAATATGTATATTAAACTATATCATCAGGCACATTTTATAGTGACAATGGTTAAATGACATTACGAACAGTATAACAAATTGTAAGGGACATCACATGGTAACTGGTAGAACCATAGAATATCCATTTAAGGCAAACTAATGATAGCATATAGCCACACAACACACTTCATCCTTGAGCAGATGAGAGTAAGGAACTGGTTGAGAAAATTGGTGCTCTATAAATACATGAACATGTACATTCTACTGCCTATGCACCTGAGTGTTACAGGTAGTAACAAAGATCAAGTGGGATATTCCAAGTAATATTACTGCCACTAATCTCGTAAAACTATCCAAGCTCCGAAAGACCGGAGGAAAATCTTGAGATTTAGATTCTAGCTCCAAAAGATGCTCAAGTCCTAGGGATGACTGAACGAAACCCTTTGAATAACCAATCCAAATAATGAGCAGCACCGTCCATTATTTTTTTATTTGAAAACTTAGGGTTATTCCAACACACAGTAACAATTTTAGTCCAGAATTCAGTGGATTTCTGCAGGTTCAATTTTATTAGCCAGTTCACACATGTCTCCTGACGATCCCAGTTTAATTGCAATAATGCATACAGATGCAAATTACCGCTTTGCCATGAAAACCTAACATAGATGCATTTGAGTTGGTTTGATTACTAGTTGAGTGCCAGGAAGCAATATGTATGAGACGAGACTACACAAGCAAAAACAATGCAGATGCAAAATAATGATAACTGAAAAGTCAGAATTGACTAGAAGAAACAAGTGGGCACGCTTCCAATTAAAGCCTTATTGAGTGAGATCCAAAAGGAGGCAGCATAATAATCCAAGAAAAAGAATGCCATCTGCCTCGTTTTTAGATGAAAAAAAAAAGAAGCTTCAGTCTCTTAGACCAAGCTTCTTATAAGCTAAGGTTTTCGGCTAAACCATTGCTAACTCTTCAATATATTTCTTGCTGAAAGTGTCCCTGGTCCACAAGCCCAAATGTATACGCAACATAAAATAAATATGAGAAAATCAAGGCACCCATCAGATAAACTTACCAGTTGTCAAGCCAAGGTAGAGGTAGAACGTAGAGTTCTTCTTATTCCGCTTGATAAAACACTGCATTGGGAACTCCCTTGGCCCTGGCTGTTTGACAACATGTTGTAAGATTAGGCATACAGATGCTGCATAAGAAAACTCTGCACTAAGTCCCAAGTAAAGAAAAATTAATCCCTCGGAAAACTAGCTTCAGTAGACACGTATGAAAACTACAGGTACATTTGGTTTTAGCCTAGCTTGGCCGTATCAAATAATTGGCTAGCCAAATTTTTGGTGGAGTTTTTTCCAGCCCATAAATTGGCGAACATTGGCTAGAAAAGTGATCTAGAATGGACAGAGAAGCATTGGCATGACAAAAGCCATCCAAACATAGACCGAATTTTTAGCGATGACCAAATTATTGGTAGGGTAGGTTTTGGCCACCATCCAAACACGCCCTATGCTACTCGAAATAGGCAAGACAGAATTTCTGATTTTGGAAGCCTTGCCATTAAAAACCCAATTAATCGAGTCTCTCTTTGCAGGGGCATGACAAAAATATGCAAGCCAAATTTTCTGATCGTCAACACACCAACAGGTCAACCTTAATTGAAACCACCCACCGAAATACACCAAATTTAGTATCCCCAGAACTAAGAATGAGAGCGCGGGTGTACTTTATACACGCACACTTCTTTGGTATGGCATACAGCTTAACCAGGCTGCGGCACGCCGCATGCAGCAGCACCCCACTTTCATGTGATGTCATGGTGTGCTCCATCGACACAGTACGCAAACCGCTGCATGGCTGATCAGACGGTGTGGTGCCCTTCGCACCATAAGATCAGCGAGAATAGGGTTATGGCACTTTTATCTAAAATGGTACTCCCTCCGTTCACAAGTATAAGATGTTTTAGATATTTCAATATGGACTACATGAGGACTGAAATGAGTGAACAAACACACTAAAACGCGTCTATATACATCCAATTCACAAAAAGTTAAAACATCTTATATTTGTGAACGGAGGGAGTACAAGAACGATTAAGGACCTCATTGATTGGCGGGAGACTATCCCATTTCCTGCAGGAACTGAATTGTTCCCTGTGAATTCACGTGAGTCTATCCCATTTCCGTAATCCGATGCCCTACCTCAACAGTGACTTCACGTGAATCTATCCCATTTCCAAATCGCGCAAACAAGCAACGTTATTAGCATCTATGGAAAGAACTAATGGACCTGATGTATAGGCAGGGGTGAAATTTGTCGCTCAAGCTTCACACGGAAGTCAAAAGTGCCGCAATCGGATGCCCTATCTCAACGGAGAGGAACCTTGGAAAAATTTACGGATCGAAAGGGGGGAAATCGCATCATAAGTTCCTCCTTAAAAACTTAAGTTTGGAATGGGGATTTCCACAGCCCTGCACCACCACACACCGAACCGGAAGCAGAGACCCCTACCAATCTACGGGTATGAGGGCACAAGCTCCCGTTCTCACCTGCTTGAGCGAGGACGGGAAGGTGATCTTTCCGGACACCGCGGGCGGCCGCACGACGGCGACGGCGGCGTCGCGCCAGCGGCGGCAGACGCAGGCGCAGGAGACGACGTCCTTGCGGGCCGGCCAGCGCTCGCCGCCGGACGCCTCGACGCGGCGCACCACCTCCGCGAGGAGCTCCGGCAGCAGGCGCGCCCACCTCTCCTCCTGCTCCTCCGGCTGCCCGTCCTCCTTCTCCTCCCCCATCTCCGCCACCTCCGAGACCTCGGCCGCCGCCGGCTCCTCCCGAGGCATATCTTCCGCCCGCCCACCACTGTACTGCCTCCCCACTAGGTCGCGGGGCTCTTTCGTCGGTCTTGGTTTTTCTGCTTTTCTTTCTTCCAACTGTAATCAAAACCGCGTTGGGCGATGGGGAGAAGATGATGGAGTACTTGTCTGGAAAAGTGGATCTAGCGGGCGGACAGGTACAGTGACCACTCATCAATGTGGTGCGTGGCCTTTCTTTCATTTCTTTCCTTTTCCGTATTATCACAGTGGTGAAACAACCACACACACACTTTCATCACCGTGCAAGTTGTTTTTTTCTTAAGGCCACGTCATCAACATATGCGACCAACATTCGGAGGTGGGTGCGTGCTATGTGTCGACCGGCTGATTTCCTGAGAAAGTCGGTCAATTCGATGTCTGTCCGATGCATTATGTGTGAGCCATTGAATTCACTTTGTCAGGTTACCGTGGCAGCCCCGTCCCTTCTCAATTGTTAGCGCTGCCCTGCAACATGGTTGTCGCAGTGATCGCACGTCCCTTTTCAGTTGTTCGATTTGTCTCACGTAAGGAGCAAAGGTAGAAAGAGACTCAGACTCACGTGGAGCATAGGCCTCTTCCCCTGCATTATCGATCTTGCACTCGTCGCCCTGCAACACGGTCATCGTTGCAGTGGTTGCACGTCCCTTCTCAGTCGTTCACAACATGGTCGATGTTGCGCTTGTCACCCTAGTCATTGTTGCAGTGGTCGCGACACATGATCATCGTCATTGCATCACAACACTGTTGTCACAACACAACATGGCATTATCATCACCGTGCATCGTCGCCTCTACAACGACGAGGCCTTGCAGCAGTCGATGACGCCCTCTCATCAGTCGCCGTCATGCAATGTCACGCAACACCGCCCTCCGTCTAGCAACGGTGGTCGCTGACCTTTTGAAGCAATAGCACGTGCCATGGGAGCCTGACGAGGAACAATAGATGAGGAAAGGAAAAATAAATGTTTGCTACTCTAGATACTTCTACTCTAATATAGTGTTTCTTTTTTTTCTTAACCCTATATATTGTTTTTTAGAGTCTTCTAGCTATGAGTAGAATGGTGAATCTTAAGTAATATTCTCTATAGTGTTCTAACTATAAGTAGAAGTGAGATGTGAAGACTTTCCAAAGCTCTATAAATAGAGATCATCACCTCTAGTTTTGAACCAGACTATGTAGCCCCACTATACATATAATTGAACTTGGTGTTCTTATATGAGATCTTGGAGTAGATATTGTCCCTGGGAGTTTTGAATTGAACTCTTGCGGCCATATCGACCTATATTCACGTCTAGAGCGATATCTAGGGCAACATGTTGAAGTAGTTCCTTCAACGCTTGTGATGTACACTTTGTAGCAGCAATGTGGATTTGTTCGTCCACAACCTTGTGCTGCTTCAGGTGGTACCAAAGTCACGTTGATCCATACTAGTTCTTGATTTTCTCTTTGAGAGTGGAGCTGCAGCAGGCAATGGAGCAATTGGCAGATGGATGTTACAGAACAACAGATCAAAGCACTACATGAAGATCTTAATCAGAGATTTGATTAACTTGTTGAGATGATAATAAAGAGTGTTCCCCCTACTACGAATGAAGAAGTTTCGTCAAAAGAGCCTGTTTCAAGAAAAGAAAACGAAGTTGTTCAACATGGAAGAAGGGTAGGTGAGCTTGGAGCAAGCCTATCACAACAATGCGGTTCAACGTACTTTAAGAAGGCTAATTTGTGTTGAAACTTTTGAAGATGAAGAATATGATGATTCCCTTGAAGAACCCAATCTCTATGCATATCAGAAAGTACCCAATCCTACATATGCAAGGGATACATACAAGGTGAAAGCTGATATCCCAACTTTAAATGAAAATGTTGATATTGAAAGGTGCCTTGATTGGTTATATGAAGTGTGGACCTTTTTGAGGTCATGGAGATTCCAGAAGATCGTAGAATTCCTTTGGTAGCATACAAGCTTATCGGAGGAACTGGTGCATGATGGGATCACCTTCAAGAAGAACGCATGCTGAGAGGAGAACCTTGTGTGAATGGCGACAAATGAAGAGTCTTTTGAAAGAGAGTTTTGTTTCTGTTGGTTACAACCAGATCCTATTTATCCCATTTCAAAATTGTGCTTAAGGGAATAGAACGGTTTTAGATCACACGAAGGGTTTTCTAAGGCTACAAGCGAGGCGCAACCTTGCAAAAATGATGATCAACAAGTTGCAAGGTACATCAATGGTCTCAATGATGTCATTCAAGATCGACTGATGATGCAACAAATCTGGTCCATTGATCAAGCACAAGCTCTGTCCTTAAGGGCCGAGAGGTTTGTGAGGAAAATAAAGACAACTAAGACTCCATATCCTCATATCAAAGGCTCGTCTAGGAGTCATACTAATAGAGTGGGAGAAAAGACTGCTTCACCAAAGACAAAACGACCCACCCCAAAGCAAACTAGAGGCAAGGGAAAGGAAAACGAAGGCCCAAAATGTTATAAATATGGCGAAGAGATATACATATCCATCGGTTGCCCATTGAGCAAATTGTTGACACAACTGTCCATGACAATGAAGATAATGAGAAAGAATATGAATGCCATAGCTTGAAACTGCAATGGCAATGTATGCCTATTAGTGATTGATAGTTGTAGATGAGAGTATATTATCACCCATAATTTGATGAACCATTTAAAGATTGAAACTCATGATCATACAAATCCCTACACTATTGGGTGGATTAAGAAAGAAGTGAATATGTGGATCACCAAACAATGCAACCTTTCACTTTCTTTGGGTAAGCATTATTGCTCAAATGTGTTATGTGATGTGGTTGACATGGATGCCAACCATATTCTCCTTGGGAGACCTTGACAATTTGATGTGGATACTACACACAAAGGGAAGGAAAACTCTTACTCTTTTATTTGAAACAAGAGGGAGATCATTATTCTATCAAACAAAACTAATGATAATTCTTCTAAGGAGGAGGGGAAAGTTATGTTAACCAACTCTCACACCCCTAATGAGTTATGAAAGACGTAAGGAGACATATTTGTGTGTTGTATTTATTGTAAAATAAGAAGATCCCACAGTTGTTGAAATTCGGATAGGTACATGACACTGTAGCAGAATTTCACAACATGCTTGCATCAGATGTCATCATTGGAGGCAATTGGTACCCTAATATTTCCGCAGACAATGAGCATGTTTGGTTTTCGCATAAGCTTGTCCTACCAAAAAGTGAACTAGGCGCATTTTGTGTCGAACTTTTGTTTTCTCATGAATTCACTAGTA